TATAACATTAATGTAGATATGATGAAGCATGTACAGACAGACAGCATCTCAGTGAACATGAGGAGAAACTGACCTGAATCCAGCTGGTGAAACATTAATACAACATTAATGTAGATATGATGAAGCATGTACAGACAGACAGCATCTCAGTGAACATGAACCTGTGATGCTGCTTTTATCACCATCCTTCTTCCTCCATGGAGCTCATTATATATTCATTAAAGGTCATCTGCCAATCACAAATATCATGTTGTTTGGAATGGCAGGTTCTGAGAAGGCAATGTCAAGTTAATGTAAAATAGACATAAACATCTTAAAATAGTAAATATTTAAAGCGTTCCTTTGATTAATTCAGTACTTTGTTTTATGTTAGTAATATGTTCAGGTATCAGATACACACAGGGGTTAAATTGGGCCCCGGCTCATAGGACGATGCTCTGACTTCATCACCCTCACATATTTGTCATGTGTTCAAAAAACTACATATATGTTAAAACCTTTCTCGTTCTTAACATAGACTATATTTAGGGTCGATATGGGTTGACTTCATTTTTTTGCTCCTCCGTGCAAAGAGTCTGCAAACCACCCGTCCTGTAACACGGAGCCGTTTCTTAGGCCATAATCTCTCAGCCCTCCAAATGAACTGAGATTTCCACACACACATTTTAAGATATTCTAATACGCCCGACCAATACAAAGCACGGCTTTTAAGGAAAGGATAAAGTCACTAATCATGTAGTTGCTTTTAACTGTTCTTTGGTAAGTGTGCAGAGCTATGTTGATTTGAAATGGTCATTTGAAGGTTGAATATTTGTGTATATATTAATAATTAATGTAAATTAATTCCAGTTAAATGTAACTATTAAGAAGACGGTTCTGTTTGTAATACTTTCTATTTTCATTGTGTTATTTGGTGGCATCAATGTGTGCATTTGATACAGGAGCAGTGTCTTTAGGGCCTCATATATAGCCCTTAAGGTCAAAATAAAGAGATCCTCGACCACGCACTGCATAGAAAGGTTCAAACTGTCTGGGAATGGATGCAAAACATCTATTGTCTCATTATCCATCTATTTGCTGGATGATGTTTGGTTTTGAGTCTAAACGTGTTAAAGGAGGAACATGTGCAGCGCTGTGGGCCGCTGGTTAGCATCTGTTCACTTCATGAGCACATCCAGTGTGACTGACATCCAATTAACATTCATGAAAGAGCACAAATTGAATTAACCAAAAAAACACAATCTTTCACTTATTCGGGATGGACATGATCCTCAGAGACATTTTATTATATTTCAATCATCCGTCTTTCTTGGTCATTGTGCAATATTACTCATTATGAATAAAACACACCAGGAGACAGCTCTTCGTGTCCCGCGGGAAAATACTCGTGTCCTCGTTACGGCCTCTAATGTAATCTGACTGGCAGCTTAACCCCCTCTCTCAATCACTGTGCTGGACAAAGACGACAATTCCACTTATTTAATAAGCTTTTTACTTTAGAAATCACAAAGAGGTGTTAATATGTGGAGATTATCCTGCTGAACTAAACGTATAAGAATCATAAACATTTGTTTATCATAAACTTGGTGCGTCAGTGCTGACTTGTCTATTAAAAGTATTTTTGATACACTTTCAATTGTGCTTACAGCTAATTATTTTTACTGTACAACATGACCGGAGAGATTTATATTCTACCATTTTTACAGTCAAATACCGGCTAACAGAAACACTGAGTATTTGAATATAGAAACCACCCCACATGTATAGCTTTGTGTGGTGCTAGGTTCACGAGAGGATCCGCAATCGCACTTTGTTGCGTAGCTTCAGTGTCGTAGCCGAGATGCCAACACAGTCTCACGGCATTTCGTGTTATAGTCACGAAATTAATCTATTGATTCGTGTTCACCAACACGATTTCGCCATTTTTTTCGTGTCACACAGAACGATTTTAAAAGCAATGTAAATAATAACAAATTGGAAGGAAAAAGACATTTAAAAAAATACAGATTTAAGTATTCTGACAAAGAACGATTTTAGAAGCAATGTATTTATAATGGTAGTATGTTTCGTGCCTGCACCAAATAATAACAAATTAGAAGGAAAAAAAGATGACATAAAATACAGATTTCAGTATTCTGAGGCTCTGAGACATTTCTTTTCCTCACTGACGGCAACAAAACTCAGACATTATACAATTTAAAATAAAAGGGATAGGGTTACCCCTAGATTCCACCGGGTCCGTCTGCGGCGCGTTACGGGCGCGTTACGGCTGCGCCGCGGTGCTCACGGCGATCGCGGCCACTCTAGTCAATGGGTGCTATTCCACCACACGCGGCGCGTTACGGCTCAGAAGCGTCCCAGAAGCGGCTCGGCGCAGGGCTCCTCTAAAATTAGGATCGAATCCTATTTTTGTCGCGGCGCAGCCGTAACGTAAGGTCGGGCAGGCAGGAAGTGGAACTTTCAGAGCATATATAGCATATATATATATATAGATATATACACACACACACAAACTAATTTTGCAGACCCTATCCCTCCGTAGTCTTTCAAGTAGGAGGAGAAATGCCAGCGTTCTCCTCCGGTTTACAGGCACTGTGTAAATTATATATATAGAATAATTATGATGATGAATGCATTTTTTTTACCACTAAAATACAGCAACACATCTTTGATTCATGTCGTTTATAACTGGAATATTACAGTTATTATTAACTTTGTCTGTACAAAGTAGCCTGTCCAGGAAATATGCCCAAATCAACAAAACTGCGAGCCGGCAGGCAAGACGCTCCGCTTCTGAAACGCTTCTGAAACGCGCCTGGTAGGGTATGACGCCGGAGGAGGCCGGACCAAAACCGCAACGCGGCGCAGACGGACCCGGTGGAATCTAGGGGTTAGGCTTAGGGTAAGATATTGAGTAAGAACATGTTTTTATGAACCACACAGCTTCTGGTCTTCCAAGACCCGACCGGACAAAAAGACGTGTTGCAGGCACGAAACATACTACCAATAGAAATACATTGCATTTAAAATCGTTCTGTGTGACACGAAAAAAAGGTGAAAATCGTGTTGGTGAACACAAATCAATAGATTAAATTAATTTCGTGACTAATAACACGAAATGCCGTGAGACTGGGTTGGAGATGCTGTTGATAGTGAGATGTGTCTGCCGTTTCCTCTCAACTGTTTGACCGGTATGATGCACCATCCAGTACTGAGAGTGCATTTTAACATACTACATATTGGCCCTCATGCTCTCAAACAGTACATGTACATACAAAAGTACTGAGATGTCACTCACATAAAGTGAGAAGCCTGCAGGGCAGAGGTCAGGGCGGTAAAAACATCCTGCAGATGATGAAATGATGTTTGTGGTTAATGAGCTGCAGCTTGGACTCTGTGGACTAACGAGCTCCGGCCTTAATGAGAGCTGTTAACGAGCTGCTCTCAGGTGACCTCATTAACACACTGACCTGTTTGCTTCTTTACATTGTGCTGCTGTAAACATTGTAAGAAATTAAAATCAATGTTTATATGGCGTAATTTAGATTAAATATGCTCTTTTAACCCTTAAGAGTCCCTTTAAAAAAAAAAACGTATTTGTTCCTAAGGCCATAAAATGCCACCTTCACAAAAACTGCTATAAAATTATGATATATTCATATTTTTTCCCACTTTCAAAGAGTCAGTCTTTTAAATTTACTCCAGCCTGACATACAAATATGAATTATATTTTGGGGATTTTAACCCTTTAAATGCCAGTTTGCTGAAAAAACTCCACAGTTTTTTTATTGAAAAGAACAAAAAACTAGAATAATTTTCAAAAAATACATTTCAAGGAATATTTGATGATTGTTATTATTAGGTCCCTAGATTGGTCAATGATTGGCAGCAACATTAATTTGAATGCATTGTTATTTTTTTTGCAGTGTCAGGTTTAAACAAAAACTCACACTCGTGTTCCTAAGGCCAGAAATTGCCACCTTCACAAAAACTGCTATAAAAATATGATATATTCATATTCTTTCCCACTTTCAAAGAGTCAGTCTTTTAAAATGACTCCAGCCTGACATACAAATATGAAATATGAATTATATTTTGGGGATTTTAACCCTTTAAATGCCAGTTTGTTGAAAAAACTCCAGTTTTTTTATTGAAAAGAACAAAAAACTAGAATCATTTTCAAAAAATACATTTCAAGGAATATTTGATGATTGTTATTATTAGGTCCCTAGATTGGTCAATGATTGGCAGCAACATTAATTTGAATGCATTGTTATTTTTTTTGCAGTGTTAGATTTAAACAAAAACTCACACTCGTCATCCTAAGGCCAGAAAATGCCACCCTCACAAAAACTGCCATAAAAATATGATATATTCCTATTTTTACTCCAGCCTGACTAAAATGAATAATACAAGATCATTTTGAACCAGAAAAACATTTATTTTACAAAGATGAACATTGAATGAACACTGTGTGTCTGGCTGTGAGAGTTCAGCTCAGGTTGAGCAGGGGCTGCAAATGGACAGACTGTGGTCTTGCATATGAATTTCCCACATTTGCAGCAGGTGCTGCAAACTCTTCTGTCCATGCAAAAGTTGCACTGCCTCCTGCTCTTCCGTTCACTGATGAGAGAGGGGCCTGCAGCAGCACCCTGCAGATCTGACACTATTGTTGCAGCGGCTGATGAGCGGGGAAGGCGCCCTCTCTTCTTGATGTGTGGGGTCACCAGTATTTCTCCCACCTCTTCAATGAAGAGCCTCCTCCTGTACGGTTTCTGCTGCTGCCAGGATGGCTCGATTGATGTCCACAGGACGTAGGCGTTGTAATGGGAAATGTCAACCAGGTTGTGGAAGAGGGCAAGTGGCCAGCGATTTGTTCTTCTCCTGCAGGAGTAGGTGGCAACAACCTAACAAACACATAAAACAAGACAATTTGAATACATGATTCCAAGCATTTTCTCTCATGATGCAAATATTAATTATTTCATAGGAAAATGCTCATTTGAAAAAAACCTACATATATTTCAGACAAGAATATAAGAGTAAGAATACATGTGTGCGTAACTGATGCCTAATGGCACCTACCTTATCAAGGTTGTCGACACCTCCTTTGCATCGGTTGTAGTCTTTGATTATGACTGGCTTTCTCTTCATTTCGTCGCTTACGTCTGGACTGCGGTGTTTCGTGCTTAGAAGCAGCACATTCCTGCTCCGTCGAGGGATGTAAGAGACCAGTGTGTGGGTCTTCGTAAAGGCAAAGGTGGAGGAGAGGATCGCTCTCGCTCTTGCCTGGAGCAAAATAGGGGGAAGCTCAGGCTTGTTTCGGCGAATTGTGCCAACCAGGGCCAGTTTTCTCCTGAGCAGCTCCTCAGCCAGGGCAAAGGACGTGAAAAAATTGTCACAGGTAATGATGTGTCCCTGGAGCCCCTCTGTCATCTCCAGGACCACCCTCATCCCCTGGTTGACTTCAGGACGACTGCCAGCTGCTTTGCCTGTATACACCTGCAGTCTCCAGGCGTAGGATGATTTTACATCACAGTTTGCCCAAATCTTTATACCGTATTTGGCCGGCTTTTTTGGCATGTACTGCTTGAAGCTGCACCTGCCTCTGAATGGGACGAGCTGTTCATCCACGCAGACGTCGCTGAATGGGCTGAACAGCATCGGCAGGCGGTGCGTCCACATATCCCAGACTTTGCGGAAGGCAGCCAGCTTGTCATCCCGGCGCCGCGGTCGGGATAGCTTGTCGTCGAACCGCAGTGTTCGGCTGATTTGGTGAGACCTCTTGTGGGACATCGTGGCTCGGAAAATGCTCCATCCCGATTTCTCACTCCAGAGGCTGAGGGTCGATTCATTTTTTGACCTGTAAACACCGGCCAAAATGAGCAGCCCCACGTAAGCCTGCAGTTCCTCTGTGTCCATATCTCGCCACTCTGTAATTGACCGTCTCCCATGCAGGTTTGTCATGGACACAATATGCTGCAGGATGTCATCTGTCAGCAGCAGTGCAAAGCTGGATGCCGGGTCACTGATTCGGGCGACAGCATAGTGTGTTGGTCCCGGGATCAAACTTCTGGCTGCTGGGACGTAGCGGAGCGTCTCAGTGTTTGTGGGAGACCAAAACACTTTACCATATTTTGAAGTCCATCCTGCAGCTGCTTCCTCCAATTCCCCTCCGCTCTCAGTTTCAGATGAGTCTGAGTTGGACACTAGCTGGTCTGTTCCCACCTCTGAGGTGTCCTCCGTGGACTCTGAGGCCTCTTCTGTGTCAGCCTCAGAGTCCACGGAGGAGGATGAGGAGCCATCCTCGCAATCAGAGTGCATGATGATGTCCAGAGCTTCCTGTGTGCTGTAATGCCTTGCCATCTCCAAAAAGACTACTCCTGCACTAATAGTAATACTTATAACCATGGCTGCAGTGCACCTGTATAAACAACCTGAGCGAGAACCAAAACAAAGTCCAATTTTGTTTTGGTTCTCGCAACTCATTGTTTTTATTATTGAATTAGATTATTACGCAGTGTGGCCTTCTAAGAGAAAAGTCTTTTGAAGTTTGACACACACACGCACACGCACACGCACACACACACACACACGCACACACACACACCATTATCCAACATCAAAAGCGACACACACATATCATTTCAGTAGCAAGTGACCCTTGCAGAAAACAGTAAAAAGGGTGACATTTTGCTACATGCTTCAAAGGGTTAAAATTATCGCCATCTTGTAGGCAAATGTAAAAATTGAAAATTGAAAGCTCGAAGTCCAAAATGAAATCTTAACATAAAGGAAATCAAGAGTTTATGATAAGATAAATGTGGGGTCAAAAAAAGCATTTTCAATGGTTTTCAATGGGGCATTTTTTGCCGCTAGGAACAAATGTGTCGGTTTTTGTGTAGCTTAGCCATTTTAGGCTAATTTAAAAAACTGAGACGACAATTCAATATACAACTAAAAAAGAATATCCTCTGGCAAGTTTGAGCAATATTCATTCAACACAGCCAAAATGGCATGAACATGAAATTCTTAAGGGTTAATTAAAGCTGTTTTATTCTGAAAAACCGGAAGTTCACACACACTCTTAACTTAAAACCTTTATTCTGAAAATTCTTAATTTCCGGTTAGCATTAGCATGTGGCTAATGTTACGTTTTTAAGAAAAAGTGAATTTAAGGTGAAAATGATACGTAGTGTTGCACTCTAAAACACACTGACTTTAACACTACATTTATTGACGCTGAAATGTTATTATTGCTGAATATTAAATGAATGTAGTTTTATTTTAAAAAAGCTTTATTGAAGGACAACCCATCGTTTACATGACGTCACTTCCCAGCAGGATCTCACAGCTTCGTAATATTAAAATATAAATTGTTGTTTTAAATTATGGATGTTACTACCTTATTATGGAACTACAACACGTTATACATACCAGCCATAACTACATCGTATGCTTATTTGAACACAAACCCGCCCCCCTTTGGTTTCAGGTGGTTATAGGATACGATATACTCCTCATAGCAGAGCATCTACACCACAAGACTCTACAGATGTGGTACACCCCAACAATTAGAGAGATATATGAACATTTCCAGGGGCGCACCTTGCAAACAGGCAAGGCAGGCAACTACTTGGGGCCCCGGACCAGAAGGGGGCTCCCAAAGAAGGTAGATTAAGAAGGTCCACAGCAACGACAACATGAAACACCCTTTAATTTACTGCAACGACATGTCGGGAAACCCTCTCAAGGCGGCCCCATGCATAGCTTGCCGTAAAATGCTGCTTCTTATCTTAAAGAGGACCTATCATGCAAAATGCACTTTTGTACGTCTTTTCTACATGAATATGTGTCCCCGGTGTTCCAGGGAACTCACCAAGTGTCAGAAAACACAACCCTCTCTATTTTCCTCCATATCCAAATCTCTAAAAAAGGGGCTGCAACGGATCTGATACAGACTGATCCAGATTTGAACACTTCTATGTCGTCACAGAAGTGGCGCTACGGCTATTGGGCCAACTCTCCACCTATCAGGGGAATGTGGGGTTGGGCCACGGCCGGCCATTGCCGCTCGAAAGCGCTGGAGACGCTGTAGTACATATGCCAGGCCTGTAAGTGGCGCTGTAGTCTGCCACAAAAGCAGCGAAGAAGACTTCCCGCCCATAGTTACCATGGTTACCCTTCTGTTTATTCTCCGCTGTGGCTTTTTTTCTCCCTCCCCGAGGCAAGCGTTTGCTCCCGCTGCTTTAAGGCGAGACACGGCAGGCAAAAACATCGTTTTTCCTGCACTGGTCAATTTTGAGATTTTGTGCTATTTTGATTCCATAACATGTTTTCTTTCAGGCTTTTGGAAGGAAAACGTACAAAATACACATTTAAGTGTTTATTTGACTAAAGTTTGTCTATTTGCGTCTGTAGATTTCTCCTAAACTCACCAAAAGTTAGCTTTCTAACGTAACATAAAGTACCGCAACCGCTGTTTGCACCATGTCATCAGAGGCATCGTTGGAAAGCTCCGTCTCTCCTGCACAATCTCATCGGATCCAAATATGGTCATTTCCTTTGTACCAGCAACCAATCGTGAAAGTACAAAGGGGTCTTAAACCAAGAAACGAAATCTCATTGGCTGGTGTCAATTTCTGACAACGTGATTCGTTCAGATGCGTCACGTGGTGTGCTAAAACACTTCCTGGTTAGCTTTCCGCCAGAAACTTAAATCTGAAAATGGCAAAATAACGGCGAAAAAAACGTTCACAGAGAAGACTACAACAATTGTCACTTGCACAAAGCAAGGTTATTCAAAAAACAAATGACCCCGAACATGAAATACCTTCAGGGAGTGCGTCGATGCGCAAGCTATCATCCAGATAACAGGAGGGTTTAGCTAGCGTCACACTGCAATCTTTAAAGGTCGTTTTCTCAAAATGAGTTTTTTCTCCTACTCTGAGTTCGAAATTTCCACTTCAGTAGCACTTACATACACCAAACCTTCCAGTTATATTCCTATCAATATTATGAAGGCTTTTACAGAAGGGTTTGGTCATATATAATTCATAACCTGAATTATATAACATTTTATACCTAAAAACATGGTGAAAGTTGATATTTTAGGGCTGATTTATGGAGTGATACAAAGAGATATCCAAAATCCCTTCTGTAAAAGCCTTAGATACTAATATGACTACAAAATGAAACAATAATTTTGATCCTGGCTTTATCCAAAGTTCAGATTTCGGTTCCTGAAATGTGTTAAAATATGCGCATATTTCATGAGATAATGGCTCATTTGTATATTTAAACATGCTATTTCAGAGAACTTGTAATACAAAAGACAATTGCCTTATTGTAAGTAATTAACTGGAGAAATTTCTAGCTGATATATTTAAGTTAAAAAAAGTACCCTATTCACCTGGGGTGTATCGCCTTAATTCAATGCAATCCCTCCCCGTCGAGGCAAGCACTGTAATTCTCTCCGGTTAGTCCACCAGCAGATGACAAACACCCACCTCTCCGCCTCTTCCAAGGAACGAGGGGACCGTGCGGCAGAGTTTCAGTTTCTTTCGCCGGTCAAGATGTCCGTTAAAGTTTAAATCTTCCGGACAAAATTAGAAAAGTGCCGGTCAAAGGTCTTCTTTGTTATTTATTGAGCTTTAAAACAAATGAATAACGACTCTATATAATAAAACACGGAGGACGGAGATCTCTTTTTCTCCCCCTCTTCTGACAGCCCAGCAGCTGATCAGAGCACGTCTCCCCTCTCCTGCAGGGGGGCGTGGTCAGCAGAATCAGACCTGTAGACAGCAAACAGCACAGAGCGAAATGAGGCATGGCTAAAATGCAAGATCTGTTTGGTATTTTGAAAACAGAAACTTATAAATATACCTTATATAGGTATGGCCCTACAATATATAATTTAAATATAGCATGATAGGTCCACTTTAATTTTTGTTGCCTTGCTCCGCAATGCCCCGGGGGGTGGGGGGGTGGGGGGTTGCTGGCGGCTGTGCGTGGTGATGAAAAGCTGGTTCGAGGGCCCCCCAGTGAATGTTTGCCTAGGGCCAGAGTTGGGGGTAACGGAGTAATGTAACGCGTTACTGTTATAAATTCAGTAATCACACTATAGTTACTAACATTCAGAAGTGTACAGTAACTTTGGATAATAACACGGCGGGTTTAATAAACTGAGTCTCTCTCTCTCTCTCCTGACAGCCCGTCTGTGTCTCATGCAGCTCGCTGATCCAGTAATGAGTGACCCGACAGTAAATAATAAACATTTATAACTAGTTTAGCTAGTTCCAGGGGTAGATAAGATTGGTAAATGTGATTGTCTAACTTTTAACATTTTAAATATTTCAAGTCACTAGAGGGATTTCCACCGCAGGTTTATATTTGCGTAACATTTGCGCGACTTGTCCACATGCAGCTGTCACAGGGGTTGTGCTGCAGACTGAGACAGAGACATCAACAGCTATAACTTCCGAGGGGTGGAGGTATGCCCATTACTTTACATGTGTAAGAAGAAAGGACAGGAATGTGACGGTAAGGTGCTCTGCTTCAAACACAACAACATCAAACCTCTCCAAGCACCTGCAGAGGCAACATGCTAACACCAAGCTAGTAGCTAAAGACCCTTGTACCCAGAGTGATGATGTTGAGTGAGTGCCGACTCCGAACAAGCAGCAAAAACTAGAATGTTCACCGTTATTAACTTGTGTTATGTCTTCCTTATTGCAATAGTAATTGTTATGTGTGCACATGTAGGCCTACGTTTTTTGTTTTGGCTAGGCTGTTGCTGAGTAACGCAAAAGTAATGTAAGGAGTAACGAGTTACTTTATGTAGAGAGTAACGAAGTAAAGTAATATATTACTTTTTTAGTAGAAAAGATGACATCACAAATACCACACAATAAAAAAAAATCTGGAAAAATGTAAATGTTGTATAAAAGACAATTATTGTTTATGTACTCTTTACATGTGTTACCATTGTCCTTTGTTAGGCGGGTTAACTGAATCCTGGCTCCACTTTACTGTCTCTCTACAGGTCAGGACGTGATGTTACCGTGTGTAGGCATGGTGCTATGTTCAAGGTTGTTAGAAATTAAAATTCAATGTTTTATGGCATGATTTAGTCTAAAACATACCGTCAGTTTAAAAGCAGTCAGATGAAGAACTTATTACTTTTAGTATTGTGTTCACACCTTAAATGGTGTGAAAGGAGGGATTGTTAGAAATTAAAATCAATGTTAAACAGCATAATTCAGTCTAAAACATATCGTCAGTTTAAAGCTGTTTTATTGTGGAAAAGCCCGGAAGTTCTCAGGAAATCAATGCCAAGCTTTTATTCTGAAAAATCCTTTATCCGG